ATAGAGTGAAATGCAGATACCATGTCCTCTGCTTTTAGCAAGAATATGTACATTAATGTCACTTTCTGAGAAGCATCTCCCCTAGACTTGGATGACAAAGCTAAATTATAACCAATGCGTACTCTAGCATAAATCTAATCAAGGCAAAATTAAGACCAATGTGTACTCTAGCCGTAAATTTAATCAAGGCTAAATTAGGACCAATGCATACTCTAAACCCTGAATCTAATCAAGGCTAAATTAAAACCAATGTGTACTCTAAAATCCTGAATCTAATCAAGGCTAAATTAAGACCAATATGTACTCTAAACCCTGAATCAAATCAAGAACAATCTTAAGGAAAAGTTTCCTTTCATTTTTCTCTCTTCTGGACAGGAGGCTGGCCATGTCATCCTCACCTTGTTGAAGGTTAGGGTTTTTTTTAAACCTGCAATGAAAGATCAAGAAGGAAAAAGAAAACAGAAGCAATCTGATACAGACTATGTTCTATTTAATGCAAGCCACACAAATCACACATACCAGTATCTCACGATATTTAATATTCACAACAAAGCCTCTAGATGAGTAAGATTTTGATTCAAATTTCATGATCTTCAAACATGTAAAAAGTGTACAACACATAAATTTTAAAAAAAATATAAGCAATTAGATGCTGGTTAACTCTTAACTAGATAATTCTGTAAATTGATGATACTCATCTAAAGTTTCCACAAGCAATCAGTTACCTTCCTTTCAAAATTCCATGTTTTAAAATCCTTCATGAATGAATCAATTTTGTAAATGGCACACTTTCCAAGTAAAATGAATGTTCTAGCAATCTCCATACAAGAAACAATCCAGATTTTGTGAATACACTCGGCATTTGTCTTTCCCATGAGTGTCATACATTCCACTTGAGAAGACACACATCATTCACTTTCGAAGGACCTCGCAACACTGCTATAAAATCCAGCTTCTAGCACACATCTTGCAAGTTCACGCAGTAACATCCAGTCTATGTCACACTCAATTCAGTATTTCCAGTCCTGTTTGAATTCGAAGATTTGCTTTACATCCAAGTTTCTTGCAGAAGAATATAAATTATATTATATAAGATTTTGTTCTCATAAATTTGCATTAACAGTTCCCAAAGTTTAATTCCATTTTCTGATGCATCTTCCTAAAATTTAACATAATTACTATAAATGAGCTACCCTGCCCCCTAAATTTAATTTATACAAACTGACTGCAAATGCAGCTCTCCCTCGCTGAAGGACAGTAATTGGCATTCATAAATGTCGATGGAAATATGTACTAAACTGTATAATAAGAAAGTTCTCCTAGTAACAAAATGCCAAAAACAAAGAGAGATAAATTTCACATTTTATGATCACAAAAATGATATTGCCAGGTTACAGTGTGCACTCGAACCATTCAAATAATGTAGTGCACAAAAACCTTGTTTTACTGCATTTTCTGCAATTCAACAGTGATCCCAAATACAATTTCGATCACAGAACGTGACTGTTAATCCAAATTATTTGCACACTAATTACTGCTAAAACACTTCAACAAGGGCATACATTAAACACATGAAGAAACTGAACAATCAGCTGCCTAAAATAGTTTAATTTTAACTTGCTCTGAACATCTTCCTGTAATTAAGTAGAAACCATCTAAACACTGGCAATTGAGTCAATTTATTTCATCTCACTAAGAAAATCAATATAAGATAAGCCACCAAGATCAGAATCAGAATTACATTAATTATTGCGAGATGTTGAACTTGTGTAACTAAATTATCAGTAAAACCAGCACAAGTGTCAATGCTCTGAAACAGAAATATAAAAATGTGGAGAACTGCAGGCTATAATGCAAACCTTCAATCACTAGTCTTGGTATTGAATATGAGAAGTTCATTACCCATTTATATAAGATGCATTTTTTCCTGTCAAATGTGCAGTTTCACGTCAGATGGAGGATAAACAAATGCCTGCTAGGAAATACTGGTTTGACTGACATGTAATGGGTGCACAGCTCTTTAAGCCAACCAGCCAATCTGACACTTTGGTTTACAATATAGCAATTTCAAGTATTGTTTCGTCATTAAGGAATAAAATAGAGTTAAACACTTCTGCAATGTTAAACAAGATGGAAAATTTTAATATGGTCCTTGGTGGATTGTAACTGTGTTGTATCCAGGATAACAATGTAAAGCTGCATTACTGAAACATTATATTCTAATGAAAATGAATAGAAACTGATTACACATGGCAAAATATATGTAACACAACATAAGAAATCAAATATAAATTTAAATGTTACAAAAATTATAACTACAGATATACATACTAATCTTTGTTTCTCCACTACAGCTTGCTTTAGGTGATTAATGTAGTACCATACAAAGCAAACATAAAAATGAACTCAAAACCCATTAATCCTTACAGCTCTTTCATTCAATTTGATCCAAACATGTTATCAAACTGACCTTTTACAGTCCAATTTTTCAGACTCTAATTGGAGCCCCGTTTTTAGACTTCAAATCCATTTTTTGATGTCGCACAAAATCCTCAAGCCTGTATCACTGTTAGATAGCTGTAATATAAATGATGATTAGTTCCATCCCCCTTGGCGAGTTGCTCCTCCACCCCACCCTTGGTAACCCCCTGCTGTATTGTCAGATTGCTGTCCCCAACCCCAGTTTGAAGCCGACCCATGGGAGGTGGAGTAACTCCCTGGCTGGGTAGCAGTATGATGTGCAGTATCCCCACTACTACCCTGCGGAGGGGCTCCTGGTGTTCCCCCTGGCCCCCAACCTTGCTGCTGAAGAACAGCCTGTGCAGCTGCCAACATGGCTGAGTTAAAGAAATTCATCCCCAAGCTATTCATTTCTGGCATATTCCCAGGTTTTCCCCCGGGATTTCCCTGACCATGCTGTGGATTCCAGCCTGGAGGCCCTCCTTGTTGGTAACCTCCTTTAGATGGGATCTGGACCTTCCTTTCCCCATGTCTGTCTGTTCCTTTAGGGGCAGCATAACTGACATGAACACTGACTCCCTTAATAATATGATCCTCCCCACATAGACTTTGAGCAACTTCTGGATCAGCAAAACTAACAAAGGCAAAAGAGCGGAATGGTTTGGGGATGAAAACATCTACCACTTCGCCAAAGCGACTGAAATATGCTTTTAGGTCATCGCCTTTAATATCTTCAGTGCAACGAGCAATGAAGACCTTCCGGCTGACCAAATGCTGGGCTCCTTCCTGCAAAAGAAAATAAAATAAAAATGAAAGATGTATACAAAAGTCCATTGAAGGGACTGCAGGAATATAAGTCAAAACCACTTCTTACCTGTTAAATGCTTAGTGCTGAAACCATTTTGGACAGTCTCTAGCAACAAAAATATTTTTAAATCAGCTGCAGTCATGGTAAGTCTACTTGTAGAAATTCTATGTTGATACCACTTCCCATTTTAAAGATGTAACAAAATGGCAGCAATGGCAACCATATTGGCAATCAGATCAGCACCACTTTAATTTAGAACCAACAAAATATAAGACTTCTTGTGAACACAACATATTGAAAAGACTTTTCATTCTGGAAGAGTGTCAACAGTACAAATTTAAAGATGGCTGCCATATTTCCATTTATGACCAACTAGATATCACAATAAGTCTTCGAGTGAAGCATTGTCAATATGACTTCCCATCTAGGAGAAGTTGTTGTGGGGTTTAACGCCATTTTTCAGCACACGATAGGCTATACATGGCGGCCAGTATTAATGGTGGAGGAAGAAACCGGGAAATCACCGGAAAGAACCACCGACCAACAAGATGCTACTGGCAAGTTCTCTCACATATCCACATTCGCCAAATCTTAGACTCGAACTCACACAGATAGAGGTGAGATGGCAGTGATCTGTAACAGACAGCGCTTTAGACCACTCTGCCACAAGTGGTAGCAATAATGGAGATCGAACTGGCCCATTTTCATTCAGAACCAACTAGACATGATGTGAAGTCTACCAGTGATAATGACATCCATTCAGAAGTAATGATATCAAGCTTTTCAAGAGTTGCCGTGGTGACCACACTGGATGTCTAAACAGTACCCTTTTCATTTACAACCAAGCAGACATCACAAATGAAATCTTTAATTACAAACTTCATGCTGTTAAACCATCATGTCACAAGGAGTAGCTAAAACAAGATTTTCAAGATGACAGTCATACTGGCTGTCCATGCAGCACAATTTTTAATTCAGGTGATGTGGGACTTAAATGGGAGAAATGTGCATGATCCATCTTGGAACAGGCAATCTGGCTACTTATTTGAACCAGAAAGAGCCTTTGACATCTCCTGGGATTAGTCAGCAACCTCCTTGAGTTGGGAAGTGCCACAGAAACTCCCTAGAATAGTTTGACCATCAAAATGAAGAATAAGTTACTTTATTCTTCCTGGTTTGGTGTAGTAAGCTGCAACTTTCAGCAAAGTCCCACACTTCAGCTGCCCATAAAAGCTCCTAGGAGGAAACTAAGGACCACCACCAGGAAAAAAAAACCAATTGCTCATTAACAGATCTGAAAAACATTTTAGTTGCTGGAGTTAAACACATTCAAAGACTATCTATAAACACAGCAGACTATTTATTACTATTGGCCATGACCTTGAACCTGATATCATGGATAGAACAATATCATCACTTTTGACCATGACCTTGAACCTGATATCATGGATAGAACAATATCATTACTATTGGCCATGACCTTGAACCTGATGTGATGTGATTATGATTTTTAACGTAGCTTTAACAATTTTTCAATCATATTGGTACAATGTCTCTGTGGTAGTTTATAGTGATGTCTAGCACTGGGACATCATGCTGCAGACATGTAGCATGATGTCCCCCCAGCCAGTCACATTATCCTGACACCAGGCTGACCAGTCCTAACACTAACCTCTTAATCCTGAACGCCAAGCGAGGCAGCTGTTAGTACCATTTTTGTAAGTCTTTTGTATGACTCGACCGGGGATTGAATCCACAACTACCCACATCCGAGGCGGACACTCTAATCACTAAGCCACCAGAGTGGTACTTTGAACCTGATATCATGGACAGAACAATATCATTACTATTGGCCTTGACCTTAAACCTGATATTATGGATAGAAGAACAAAATTATACCCAGATGATAGCTTTGGTTATGTCTATAATTAATAATCTTCGGAAAAATCCCAACTTAATATATCCACTACCAAAATTTCATAAAAAACGCATCCATGATTGGTATCAGGATCTAGAAGAGATTTACACTTTACTGGTTGAAAAAAATATGTTCAGAGATCTAAGAAAAGAATGTTTCTTCATTTTGACTGCTGAGTGTTGAAATTACATCTGATCTTCTTGAACAAAAGCAAAATCTTTAAAATGGCAAATATGGTAGCCATATTAGACATATGATCAGCATCATTTTCATTTAGGATCAAATAGTCTTGAAGAAACCACAATGTCATTATCAATTCAGTATTATGAGTGATAACAAGATCTTCAAGATGGTCACTTTAGCAGACATAATGAATGCAGGATTGGTTCAAAGTTAGGACTAATTTAAATATTACAAGTCTTCATCAAAACCATGTCAATGTGACCATATAATGCATTTAAAGGAGCAAGAACAACAAGATGTCAAGATGGCCATCACAGAAGCCATTTTGACCATAAGACTGGCATTATTTTCAATCAGGACCTAGTAGATACCATTAGTCTTCGAGTGAAAACCCCATGTCAATATGAGAACCATAATGACTGTATTTTCACTCAGCACCAACTAGATATAATAAGTATTCTGGTGAAAAACCATGAAGATATGACTTTGTGTTTATGAGGAAGAGCAACAAGATCTCTAAGACAGTTGCTATGATAGAATCATAGTCATATCAGCACTATCTTCACTAATGGCAAACTAGACGTATGTATATACCAAGTGGCAGAGTGGTCTAAAGCACTGTCCGTTACAGATCACTGCCATCTCACATCTGTCTGAGTGGGTTTTAGTCTAGGATTCGGCGAATATGGATATGTGAGAAAGCTTGCCAGTAGCTTCTCGTAGGTAGGTGGTTCGGTATAGCCTATCGTGTGATGAAAAATGGTGTTAAGTCCCACATCATCATCCCCACCCCCATGAGGCTAACCGAAACTCCTCTGATCCTTCAACTTAAAATCAGAGTGCCAACTATCAACTTGCTCATTAGAATGCAATTAAATACATGTTGGTGATCAGATCTGCAGCATTTCATTTAAGAAGCATAGTGATAACAATATCTGCTCAATGTCTATTGTTGTAGTACAATTTTCAGTCCGAAACAGCTACATAATGCTACTTTATTCTAGTCAAAAAAAATCCCAAGTCAACATGACCATCTGTTCAGGAGAAATAGCCAAAACAATGAGTTTCAAGATGCAGCAATGTCTGGATCACCTTATTGCACACAAAATGTTTCTGATTTTTTTAAGAACATGTCAGTGTGAATATCTAATCAAGACAATAACTGCAATGGCATTTTTCACAATAACCACTGTAGTGGCCATTTTATGAGACCATTTCTGCATCAATTAATTTTGGAAGTGTTTTAGTGAAAACTTCAGTGATCAAAAGCATGTTGCCATCATGGTTGATATTCATTTATTAGCAGCTGGAAGTCACACAATGTCATTAATCAAAACTTGTTGTCAATGTAACCATCTGTTTACGAGTAGTAGTGATGAAATTTTAAACATGGTCAAAATGACAAACATGGTGTAGTTCTGATTGGAATCATTTTTAAATTGGGAAACTACATATAAAGTCTTTTCAATGAAACCTTCATGTTGCTATAACCATATTTGCAAGATTAAGATTTCAAGATGGTTGCATTAGTGGCACTATTTCCATTTGGATTCACAGTACAGCTCAAAAAATCTTGAGTGAAAAACCCATGTCTCCACAACTGTCCATTCAGAAGAATTCATGACAAGATTCTCAGGATTGCTGCTATGGTGGCACATGTTGGAGGTTTAATCAGTACCAGTTTCATTTAGGACCAAATATTTATTGCAAGTCATCTAATTAAACCCAATGCTGCTGCATCCATATGTTCAAGAGAAGGAATAATAACAAGATTTTCAAGACCACTGCACAGCTAATGTTTGTTATTCAACAATTTGGGGGGGGCGGGTCTACCGAACATTATAATAAACATTTAGTGAAACTCCAAACTTCATTTCCTTTAACTCTAATCTTCACATCCACACATCATTTAAACCAAGAAACTCAAACTCTACATTTTCAGATTACCTTATTTGTCATACTGATGATGACACTGGCAAATTCATCATAAACAACAGCTGGAAGAGAAAAGTGCTGAATAATGCATTGCTGAAAGTGATAAAACAAATATAAAGTAAATGTTCCTTGGAGCAAACAAGTTGCTATGAGATAATTAAATGATTCCCTTGAAATGATTCATGAATCTCATATCTACATGAGGAAAGTGCAATACAAACTAAATTTTATTTAAAAAGGAAATTATATAAATGTAAACAGTGTCAGGATGACAAATAAGGCTTCTCAATATTCCATGATATTCTAGCACTTGAAGAACATGGACCAGGTCCAGAGTTGTCAGTTTAAAGCTATGCAGTACAATCAAAGAAAACTTGTATCAATACGAAATAATGCTTACGTTAGAATTGGGAATAGTGACATCACACCATCTACCATCGATATTATGACGTTGTGACATACATCGCATCTGGTCATCATACTTGTTGAAACGAATGAAACCATATCCCTTAGACAGCCCAGTTTTGGGATCTCTTTTTACCTGCCAATAAAATTTGGTAAACTAAAACTCTAGTTAAAATCATACAAGTCATGTAGGCATTCAACACCAATTATTTCAATACTGGGTGTCATTTTTTTATAATATTATTCTACATATTTTTAAATGGCAATTATTTACTTTACTTGGATCCTTAAACAACCATTTTCTTTCAAAGGTCATTATTCAACAGCCCCAAGGAATATATATGGCAAAAATCAATGTTAAAGTATGTGGACATATTTTTCCACATGATCAGTATAAAGGTGTGAGCCAATACAATGAAAGCTACACATGTTGATTAACAAATCTATACTACCCTATATTTAGATGATTACACTCAATATGTACTTTCCTTGCCCCAATTTAATAAATGGCTAATACTGTAAAGGTTCATAGTAATAGATAATGTTCATCTTGAAGTTTCTTGACAACAGTTAAGGTGCAGATCATTCAATATTCAGGAGTGAATAAACTTTGGTAAGCAAAATTAGAATTTTAAATCAACAATTTATTTTTAATTTTAAATCAACAATTTATTTTTAATTCATAGTAATAGATAATGTTCATCTTGAAGTTTCTTGACAACAGTTAAGGTGCAGATCATTCAATATTCAGGAGTGAATAAACTTTGGTAAGCAAAATTAGAATTTTAAATCAACAATTTATTTTTAATTTAAGACAAGTAAATGCACAAAATGACCTGTATGAATTTTACTATAAATGTTACAAGCTGTGACAATTACAAGTTAAAAAATTTCATCTATTTGATTCTACTGACCTTAGAACTGCATATGCTTTTCTACTTTTAATATCAACATTTATCCTATCAACTGGTGCTAGATCATCTTTTAGCCTAATGGTAATTTGGGGTTTTGACCTGTGTGCCAAACTAATGTAAAATAGAAACCTGCTATACACCACACATTTTCTCAGTTGCATAACATGGAATTAACCAGAAGTATTTTGGTGTTTTTGATGTCCCTGGTTTCAAAAAGGCAAAAAGTAAACAAAAAGTCATATTTCCTTTACACAAAATCTATTGAGCAGTTTTTGAGAAGTCATTTAAAAACTTTTGTTTTTAGGAATGGTCAAGTTCTGTTCAGTAGTTTGTATTTAAGTCATTTCTGAGTTATTCCTTTTTAGAAATAACTGCCATATTTGATAGAAAATCAGCAACACATGTATATATTAGAAAGTTTATTGTGCCAGAATGCTAATTTGGTTAAAATTCCTCTCAGAAGTTCCTGAAATTAAAGCTTTTCAGTTTTTAACAATGATGGACATATGAGGTATCTTAGTATAAACTGAAGGCATTTTGGTGCCAGAAAGCTTTCTGTAACATTTTCTAAAATCCTGAGAAGCACTTTTGAGAAGTTGTTTAAAGGCTGTTATATTTTTGGTCATGAAGAGAAATATTTGATGGTGAATTGAAAACATATGTAGAAACCTGAAAGGCCTTTATGCCTGGATACTTAAGGTTGTTCTATTTAAACATTCATGGTACCAGGGAAGGCAGTTTTTTAATATATGCCAGGGTACTTTGATTTCACAAAGTTCATATTAAAAAAGACAAGATATTTTAAATTGCATCTACAGTTAAGTATCTCACTTTATAAATATGTTCCCTAGGTCTTCTACATTTTTTAATGGAACAGCCCTTAATGCCAAGTGTGATTGAGTTGGCTGTGTGGTTTTTGGGAAAGTTCAGAAAAAGCAATTGTTGATGGATGTAGAGCCACAACATAACTCATTCATCCTTACAGCTTGGTGAGCTAAAACTTTCAGCTTCTGGTATGAAATTATATTTGTCCTTTACTAATTGATTCTTTTATAAATGTATGGAATAAAACATCATCTGCATAAATGTATATGGCAGAATAAAACAATAAAGTGATCAATCTATCAAAGACCTGACTGTCCTCACCTGGGACAGAACAAGTTCACCAAACTGACTAAAGTAATTCCTTAGATCATCCTCAGTGCTTTTCCATGGCAACCCCAGTACAATCAGGTCACTGCATTTCTTCTGCTGGTCAACCCTTTTTGTCTTGGCACTGATGTTCTCAGTTACTTCATCTCCTTTACGTTTGTTGTCTGTGTTAGAAAATAAAAATGTTAAAAGTAAAGTATACAAGTAAACACAAATCATCTAACCATACTCATTAGACAAAGCAGATCATAAACAGACATTAAGCAGAAATTTAAAATAAATTAATGAAAACCAGATGC